TGCATTTCTAATAAGGAAGCTGACAATCTTGCTGAGTAGCTCCATGCCTTACCTCTAGTGCTAGATATAGAATTGTCTGTTATAATTGACTTCAAAAAAGTGGGTTATTTTTTAAATGTATCTGCACCTGTAGCCGTGAGTGCCTCCTGATAACCCTTCTATACTGAGCAAAATAGAAGGTACTTTCCTGAGATGTTACAGTTTATTCAAAACTGCATTTGTATTGTCACATCTGGGATTGTCAGTTTGAATTTGTTAGAGGGGTTTCTTTTTTAGAATAGTTTGTCTTTCATCCTAAAACTAGCCTGTGTTTTCAACGACACTATCCTAGGCTTATAAATCTTCTTCATCAACATAATTGATTTTGGTTGTGTTACACTTTCTCAGCTGCTTTTTATTGGAGCTGTGTGAACAGGTGATTTTTTTTCCTCCATTCGCTTGACAACTGAAGTGGGAATATAGAGGAATGGAATCTTTCGCTGTTTTCCTTCCTCTTGTAGCTACACAGATGATTGATCTTGTCAGTGGGACACGTTCAATAAAATGCGTGGAAAGGAAGGGCAAAAATCACCAGAGGAGGTGAAGAGGACAGCGATCTGTTCACTTCAACTCCTACCAGCAGACCTGTGGCTGGAGCACACACATGGGTGATGGTGGAGGGGCTCCTCTGGGTGACTGAGGACAGAGCTGCAAATCCTGCAGCTCTTGCTTCCTTCGGTCATTTGGGACTGACAACATTTATCTGAACATCTAACACCCCCTTTATGTCCATTCCAAAATACATTACCACATCAGTTTTGATGCGAAATTTGGTCTGTATTCTACATAGTTAAATTTGAGTTAGCACTAGTGCCTACGAGTATGGCTTCTTTTTGTTTGTTTTTTTTTCTTCCACTTGGTACCATGAAATCACCCCCATGTCCAGTAACTGTTACATTTGCCATGTTTCCTTTCTGTTGTTTAAATTCACAGGTTAATGTAATGCAAAAAAGTGTTAAGAATGTAACCTGGCTTTGCCTCATGCAAATAATTTAAAATCTTTGTGGTATTTAAATAGGATTGCTCAAAAATACAAATGATGCTTGCAATGAATAGCAGATTTTTTTTTTAATGAAAGTGTAAATTACCAATGGAGTTAAACCTGACAATTATTGGAGGTTAAAATTCTACTGGAATAGGTGCACACGTGGAGCAATACACAAAGCACTAAGTGAAATGCTCATGTTTGCTTGATTTATTCTCTGCAGCAGACGGACTTTGGTAGTAGGAGGTGTAATTTGCAGCACATTAGCTATTAGCCATGTCATTGCTTGAGTGGGTGGTGTGAGTCTCGGGTGCATGTACAGTGTCACACTGCGCATGTGTCAGAGCCAGGCACTTCTCCCCTCTGCTGTAAGATGCATTTTTTGTGAACACTGTTCTGTATTTAAAACTGTGAATTGCCAGTTTTCAAATGGGTTATTCTGTGACACAGAAAATATCTAGAATAATGCCTTTCCCTCCTTTCCTCCCCCCTCCCTGCCGTTCCCTCCCCTAATTCTTAATGTTTTGCAAAACTGGATTGTAGAGGTGTTTGACTTTCCTACCTTTTTTGGTACGCAGTCCTCTGAGGATCAAGTATGTCATTTGCAGGATACCCAGCCTGTAACTTACAGGAAGCAGAATTGTGCTAACAGTTGGGGGTTTTTTGGGTGCCCTGTGCATGCACTTGTGGTGTTCAGCAGAGGTTTTCCAGAAGTGTCAGCTTGATGCATCTTTTTTTGTGTGCACAGTTTCATTTGTGATGCTTTTAGTTCACCTTTTTTTTTTTTTTCCCTGGAGGCACCTGTCTCCTGCCACATACCCATCAAGACTAATTGCACCATCTGGAAGATTTTTGTGTTGCTGTTACTTGTGCAGGGTATCTCTGGGGAGCTTAATTCAGAATGTGAATGTGACCCCTGAAGCCATGTCAAGTAGCTGCAGTAGTTTCTAGTGTCTAAAGGATGATCACCATAGGCTTTATTTGTTTCAAGTGTAATGTGGTTTGCTTTAGTGTGGATGTGTTATGTGTCAGTAACACAACTTCAGTCATGTTTGAAAATGGAGTTAGACTTTGACTACTGATTTGGTAATTCACAGAATATCCTGTCTAAAAGTACATCCAAACCATGTGTAACATATAGGCTGTATGATTAGGTGTAGAAATGATAGACATGTTACTCCCTCTTCTTCCCCTCCCCCAGCTGCACTTCTCATTAACAGTTTTCTGTTAAGAATGCAAGGTATTCATTGCTAGCTGTGTTGCAAGCCCCCTGAACAGCTCTGAACACTTGTTTTGGCTATTGCTGTGGACCTGTTCGAGTATTTTCAGCACAGGTAATTTTCTTCTTCTGTTCCTCACTTAGTTTGAATCAGGTAAAAGTGCTTCACTTCTAGTGTCTATCTAGGCAGTGGCTTTTTTAAAGGCCAGTTCATAATCCTGTGATAGACACCTTTTTTCTCTACTTTTGTCATATCCTGTCCCATGGCAAGCTGTAGAGCACAAAATGTTCTGATTGTTAAAAGTATCACTACAATTTGCTATGCTTTTTTTAAAAGGCATTATTCATTTCTCATGGAATCCTGCCTTTAATAATTTACTCAGATTTTACCAGATATGTGGAAAAAAAGCAATTATTTTCCTAAAACCAATTTTCTTCAAAAATAGAGTTGTAAATAGTGTTGAGGAGATATATTTAAATTTAGTTGCATCATCTGTGTACCTTATGTGGCCGTGAGTAATGTGGTCAACTGAAGTTCAAGCCAGAGAAGTACTTACACCACCACAAACAATTATGAGTTCTGTATACAGGATGTGTACACACTATTTATTATTCATTATATGTATTTTCTGTTTTTCCCTGGGTGGTTTAATGTTCATTGTGGATCTGACTTTGGAAATCTGTGGAGTTTTGAGTGTATGACTGTCTTGACTGCATTCTGTTAACTGTATATTGGAGCATGGTAAGAAAAGAATTATGTATTTATGTGCTTGGTGAGAATAGAGTTATGCAGGTTATAAATTCAGAGTGTTGAAGGCAAGCAGCTGTCCCCTGCTCCTTAAGATCCCTCACTACATGTACCCTCTAAACAAAATAAAGGTGCACATTGCAAAACCACAGTGTGTGCCCGTGTGAAGAGATCTGAGCTGTGCAAACTTCTGTGGATTTGAGGGACTAGAAAGTGCTGGGGACTGAACAAAAAAAAAAAAAAGTAATTTCTGCTTGGGGAAGTTAAACAGTATCTTCCTTTCACTGCTTTTTGTGCTATTTTAGTCAGGGTTGCTGTGAGTGTGGGGTGTCATGCTGCCAGGCTCAAAGGGCACACCTGACCTGCCCAGGGTGGGCCAGCCTGTTTAGTCTGCAGGTGAAACAAATAGCACGTGGGCAGATTATAGAGACACAGAAGTCATGACCTCCTTTGGCTAGTTAGATCTCACCAGAGCTAAAAATGTTGTGGGTTGTGGTAAAAAGCCATACTGACCTCCTATTATCTTAATTGATCATGGCATTTGTAGGGTGCAGCTGCACTGAGTGTGAGCTCAGAAGCTTCTCTGCAGGGAGAAATATTAACCTGGAATCAGTACGGGTGTGAAGATCAAGTAGCTGTCAAGCACCAGCTACCTAGATGGATCTGCTCATTCTCCTCCTAGAGGATATATTTTGTGCCATTTTCCCATCCCTGCCCCATGGGCTGTAAAGACTCAAGAAGTCAGGATTTTATTTGCAGTAGCACAGGACCTTTCACACAGAAGGGTGCTATGTACATTATTATTTTCATGTTTGTGTCTGTGTTAATGAAGTAGCATACAGAATATATTCTTGCATTGTGGAGTAATGACAAAATGCCAAATGAAACTTTAGCTTGCATCCACTGTTTTCTTTATTCAAACAAACTTGCAATATGAACATCCTAGGTTTTCATTCAGCTGTTTTAAGGATAGTTCCATTTTGATTTCCTTCAGTTATTAGGGCTAAAATTATACTCTGGAATAAAATGAGTTAAAGTGCTTAGTAATTTGTAATGTGGTTCTTCATATGATTTATTTAAGGAATATTTGCATGATATAAGAGGTATGGGCTCTTATTTATTGAAAATTAGCTTACAAATTTAATAGTGTCTGGAATGTATTGTCCTTTTGTCTCGGTATTTAGCCATATTGATGAATGTAGGAAGTAGAAAGCAGTTTGAGAAGAACAGGAAGAATACAATTGGAGACGTTGCAGTCCAAAAGGAAAGCTAAGCTCGCTTTAAAACAAATTAATTTCCGAGGTGGTGTATCTAAGTGGTCATTTAGAATTGCTCTCAACAAATACAATTTTGTGGGTAGTTTCCTTCTGAACCCAAATTTAAAGTTATAGCATTTGAAACAGTTCTTTTGTTTAGAACAGTCCATCTATACTTCATTTATCTCCAACTTCTATTGTACATATTTCATCAGTTTCTGCAAAGTTTATTTCTAATATACTGAAACCTGTTTTATGTACTGTGCCCTCTGTTCATAACCGCTCTGATCTAAACAGCTTTCTTTCAGCAGGTTAGATTTTGGTTGTACCATTCCTCCTTTGCCTTTCTTCTTATGAAGTAGAAAGCTTCTTTTGGCTTTTTTGTATTTCAGACAAGAAACCGAAAGCTCTTATGTTCCTGTTAGAGTAGATCACAGTGAATTATTTTGAAATACTCCTGTCATGACATGATGTGAAATGCAAGAGACATGCTGCTCCTTGAAAATAATCAAGGTTTAATTAAATCCTGAATACTTGTTTTTCTCTGCAATAGCAGTATTTCATTGTAAGTGTCAGGGAAGGCATGACAGAAGATCATGATTCATAATTGCAACTTACTTCCTTGCGAACATGAATATTAAAGACTTGATGAAGCGGTGGCAGCCTGAGGTCTTTCTTTTTTTCCACTTTGGTATGACCAGTGAAAATGGGTTGTGAAAACATGCCTTTTTTTTTTTTCTTTCCTTTTTCCAGGGGTTTTGTGTATGACAGCCGAAACAATTTACAAATGCGAGGTTTGGTCATATTGCTGATTTCCAAAGCTGCTGGACCCAGCACGGCAGAGCTCTCTTTCCAGCACAACATGGTCAGTGGAATTTATTCCAGGTATGTAGTAACTTTCTTCAGCATGATACCCTAAAGTATATTTAATGGGCATTTTCATGGTAGTATCAGAACATCTTAAGTGGCCTGTTCAGCTGTTCAGGAGAATCAGTACTTACCTAATCACAAAACTTGATTCTTCAGGTTTATTATAAGCTTTCCACAGTGAAAACCATTTTTTACTGTTTGTATAGCTCATATCTTAATTGTGGCTTTTGGGCAGGACCAAATTGAGGCCATTTGGGTCAAGACAGCTGACAATTTTATGTTAAGAGGTACTTGGAATTAAAAAAACCAAAGATGCTAGAAAATGTTTTTAATTAGAGTATTTTCATTTTGGTTTACTCTGATGTTATTTGGGTACATGTGCTTACTAGAAATTTCAGAGTGAGAATCCAGCCTTGTGGGACACCAGTTGGTTTGACTGAGCACATAAGTTTTTGTATAGCCCATTTGAAGGATATTTTCCCACAAAACAGCAGCATAGAATAAAGCTTTTACCTCCTGCATATCACAGCAGATTTACTGAACTTACCACTACTGTTCCTCAGGCTTTCACTGAGATGTTTCCGCTTCATTGTGTTCCTAAATATTTTTTAAGTTTTTAAGCTAAGATACTTAATATTAGTAACAACAGTAATCAAAATCAGTGGTTGCTGTCCTTTGTATATTGGACAGTGAACTGTTCCATTGAAGTAAGTAATGAGATCTGGTTGAAAAATTGTAAAATTTGAATTTTTTAAAATCCTTTTGAAAAATCATGTGTGCTGCTTGGTTGAGGAAACAAGACTGTTGTATTATATGTTAATTGTGTTTCTGACCACTGTGATATATTAAATGAAGATGCACAAACTTAGTGACATGTTTGTATCCTGATTTAGTTTAAAATGCGGAGGTAGTATTTTAGAGTTGAAAAGACCAAATAAACAAAGATGTTAAAATATATGTAGTATCTTAAAATAGCAGAGAAGGAAAATATGTATGAATTAATACAGACAGAAATAACAATAAGTAAGAAAAAGAACAAGGCTGTAAAAAGAGGCTTGTTATGGAAGACTTTGTTGTCCCTTTAGCTGTTTAATTCGATTCTTGTTTTGTTTCATCTATAATGTCCCCTTAGGGTTGTAAAATTTTTATATTTATATGCAAATGATGCTGTATGAAACCATAATTCTAGTTAGTTAATTATGGCACAGGAGGTATTTTAGTTTGTTTTGTAAATGACTAAAAAGGTTTACCTTAAATGTGCCTCATAGAAGGAGAGAAAAAGCATTATTTTTTTGATAAGTAAGTTCTTGAGTATGATGATTCTGACCATGGAGGAAATGTTTGAGCATTTAAAGCTGCCGTTGGGAAGGTGACTAGTGGAAGTGTTCATTAAGGAGCAAATAAGACCTTGAATTAATAATGAGCCATTTGGTGTAAATGGACATAATTGGAATGATGCCAGTTCAACCAGCCAAAAATCTAGCCTAATAATCTAAGTTTGAGCAAGTCAATAGCCATTATAATATCTAGTTCAGAGTTACAAAGGTACTCCAAAAATGAAGCACTTTTGAATACGCCCACACAGGTTCACTCAAGGTTCATTACTGTCTGCAGAAGTGATAACTGTGGAGTTGTTAATTTAAATGGATTTTCAATGACACTTTAAGTCTGCAGAATGGTGTAAATACAAGCAAACTTGCTGCTGCGTTGTTTCGTTTTGTGCCAGAGTGATCAGTTCTTGCCCTACACTGAAGTCACTGTGGGCTTTGATTTTTGACTTTGGATTTCTTTCTTTATTTAAAGTACTTTTGCAACTACACTTTTAAATGTGTATCTTATTTCTGACTTTCATTTTTCCATTGTATAAAGCTAAGAGAACAAGCAGCTTGTAAAATTGTCATCTTAAAGGGCTTTTGTGATTTTTTTTTTTTTTAATGCATTACAAATACTGTTTTACAAACTGCTTTCTTCTGAATAAGAACAAAAAGATATTGTTTTCCACCAGTACATTTTTGTGTGATATCTTGGCTGCACTGTAATTATATATGGTGTGTATATTGGACATATATATCAAAGGCAAACTATATCCCTCAGTGATATGAAGTGAAGAAATACACTTAATCCTTTATTGTTCAAGTCTCCAATGTTGGAAAGCATTTTTTGGAAATAGATCCTTACAGATTTTCAGCTCAACTGTAAACTATACAGCTCTTTTTGTTGCCATGCCATATAATTACTTCATCTTTATATATAATATTTTACTGGAAATATTATTTCTGGCACTGTAATGAGCATCTTTATTGCCTGATACTTATGTGCTGTGAACATTATATTGTGGACTATTAGCTGGGATATGGCTCACTTGATTTTAGGATACTTAGCAGTGATTAATTAATTACATTTCTGTAATCTGAGCATGAGCTAAGTTGTTCCGATACTTGTCAGCGACTGCACCCACCCAGTTTTTCTTTTCCCAGTGTTTGTGTTGGAACCAGTTCTTGTACTGTCTTTAAATACTTTGTTCTGCAGCAGATAGCCAGGTTACATCAGTCCCCTGTAACTGGTGCTACAGTCAATGTACAATGTGTGACCAGGAAGGTGTAACAGTGTAGTAAATTATTTAACTTAGAAAACCACAAAAAACGTGGTGGACTTTTTCATCCTGGATTTTGGCACGTTCTGTGTAACTTCCTCTCTGTATTTCATGTTCTTGAATGGCAATATAAACAAGCAATACAATAATTATAATTAAAATGGACACTGAGACCTGAATTTGGAATAGCAAAAACTTTTTTTCTTACCCTGTTCTCTAGAAATGTCAATTCATGGAACAATTGACCTAAATGTATAAAAATAGATTATCTAGCTTCTTAGTGGACATCTGTTTTTCACTGGTACACAATGGAACAAAACTGATGGCTGCTACCAGAAGCAACATTTTCCAGAATAATGAGGATTACAATTTAGGTAGTTACAGGAACAGGGCTAGTGTAGTTAAATGGTGCTGCCACTGGCCAGCATTGCCTCCAGCTTTAGCACTTCATAATTTGCAGGAGTCATGATCTGCCTGCATTAAGCTGGGGCCATGGGGGTCATTGTATGCAAGGATATTGCCTTATGAGCCATGCTGAAGATAAGGGAGGAAATGTTATAAAAGCCTGCTTGGCATGCTTTACTCTGTACAGCCACCTCCCCATCATGTTGGCAGCAACCTGACTTTATTCCTATTGGCAGGGAAAAGAACCTGGCTTTATTTCCAGCTCAGCACCAGCGATCCCAAAAGAGGATGAAGAGAAGTAGCAGAATGATAAACAGCTCTATTTCAGGTGCTGGACAGATTTCCAAAAGTTGAAACTTTCTGCTGGTCTCTTAGTATTAAAAGGAAATATTTCCTTGGCTACAGAAGCATTGCAAATATAAGGATGAATTGTAGTGCTCACTACAGAGTATGCAAGCAGTGTCATGTAAGGGTTGATGTCATTGCCTGTAGTCAAGCAAAGTATGCATCCTATATTCCCTTGAAACTCCTTACTCCTGTGCTGAAGAGAAAGCAGAACTCCCATTTGGGTTTAGGCAGAATCGAAGTAACAATAATTTATCACATGAATGGTATCAGAGAACACCTTAGATGAGACACAGGAGGCTAGAGCTTCATAAGAGCTTTGAGACGCATTTCCTAACAGATGATTATACTAGAGCCTGACACTACATTGCCTTCTGTCAGAGCAAAACTCACTTGTATACTCCCTCAAGTATGTAGCTTGCTGTTATTTTACTTTACTCATGAAAGTGAGGTTTTTAATTGGAACTCCAGGGTCATGTGGTCTCTAAACACTGACAGCTTTATGCTTCATGATTGGAGCTAGATTCTTACAGCTGAAGATACTAAGACTGGCTTGGATCCTCTCACTAAGTACCCAAAGGGGTATCTTTTTCTTTTCATGTCTGGCACCACCAGACACTACTGGCTGGAGACTGAGGAATCACCTTGGCTTTGTATTGAGCAATGAATTCTTGACACAGCCTCTATATTGCAGCTTAAAATGCAAGTGACACCAAAGAACAGGTTTGGGCTGTCTCTTCAGGACTCAGTATCCTTGGCTCTAATACAATAAGTTAGCTTTTTCTCTCTCTCATGTTTTGCCTTTTTTTTTTTTTTTTGCCGTTAGTGCCAATTTCAAAAATATCCTCTAGTACTGACATCCACTGAGTCAGCTCTGCAGATTTCCTTGGATGCTTATCAGAGATTTAAACAAAAAAAATAATCCTTTTTTCAGTCAAATCTGCTGATGCGTTGACAATGGTGGATACTATGGTCATTGAAAAGCAAAGACTTTTTTATTCTACCAGTCTCTGCGTTTGTGTCTATCTTACTGGAGATGGGGACATATAAAATACTGATACTGAACCTGATAAATTCACCTGGTAAATTCAGTAGATTGCTGGATTTGGACTATCAGTACTGGGCTCTGTCCTTGCCCCTTCTTCAGAATGATGCAGCTGGTCTTTTTAGCTCTGGGAATTCATCTTTTTGCAAGATGAACATGCTTTCCTGCAAGAAGGTACTCACTGGATAAACTTGTCTCTGAATCAGAATCCTTCCTGCTGCTTAGAAGAGTAGTGGCAATACTGTAGTGACAGGAATCATGAACATAGGCTCCTCTTACTTAGTGTTTTAGTAATGATTTTGGAACCAGCATTGATGCTGCTTCCAATAAAAGCCCGATTTAAGAGTAAGTAAGCAGCAGATGCCAACTCCTTGTTATGGTGATGGGTCTTTTGCTCATTGTATTCCAGTAGTAATACTTATTAATTGCCCAGGGTACCCTTTTGGGGAGGTTTACACACACATGGGTCACACGGTCTGATTTCACATGCTTTTTGTCATTGTGGCTGTACCAAAGTCATGTTGTTCTAACCTTCTCTAAAGGAACACTGTTTTTGAATTTAAATCCAGATCTTAACCAGAGAACCATTCACCCTTAGGTTGCTTTTTCTCTGAAAGATTCTTTGGT